TGGGACCTTTTAAATCTGACAAACTTTTTCCTCATAATCATACTTACTAAGCAATTGAATGTTTCTGGATGCCCGCTAGGGCTGTGCAATTAATCGTATTTGAATCTCAATTGCAAATTTTCTTGCAACAATTACGAAAACAACGTAATCAAAATAAAACTATTATTTTGCTGCATTCCCTTTCGCAATGATGCTCTCAATTTGTCTTGCGTTATACATCCTGCCCGCGCGTGCGCTTTCGCCCCTCCCTAAAAGCCCTAGAGTGAAAAGTTGACTCTAGCGTACAGTCAACTTTTACTAACCACTATTTCCGGTTTCCGGATAAGGGGTTACCAAAATAAGAGCACTGCGGGTAGCAGTATAATTAAACATTACAGGTTGTGAGTGACATTAGTTATCATATTTATATATGTTTAGTAGGTTGTGGAAGTGCGCTCCAAAATATTTGTTGATCTTTATTTGTATTTATTATTTTGTTATTAGTTATTTAAATGTAAATATAAATGTATAATTTATTATGGTATTGGTTTTTCAGTTGAATTATACCTAAAATTCAGGGTAATCAACTGTTAAAAACATAGTGTTCAAATTTTTTTTTTAAAGTTCAATAAATGGATGTTTTCAAAGTCAATGAATAATCGTATTTAATAATCGTGATATCAATATTGGCCAAAATAATCGTGATTATGATTTTTGCCATAATCGAGCAGCCCTAATGCCCGCTATAAATAACTATTTGGAATGTTTTCCCATTTAGGAAAGGACATATATATATGTATATATAGTTCAGACGCCTCACAGAAATGTATGAGGTTGGCAGTCACTGTCACTAGACGGCTGACAAGTAAACAGAGAGGTAAAGAGAGAGACAGGCAGACAGACGGAAATGCAATCCGAAACAGAGAGACAGGTTGACAGTTGAGACAGACAAACCAGACCAACAGGCAGGCAGACGGGTCAAAAAATCTAACTGACTCCTAAGTTTACAACACATGTTTGGACGTGCAACTCAGAAGACACCTTATATTTCAAGTTTGACCTACAAACCTGAGGTTAACATTTTAATATTTCCATTTCCACTCTAGGTATTTTTATTGGACTTCTTGGAAAGGCTCACAGAATGGAACCTAATAACCTTTTATTAAATATAGGAGGAAGTTGTTGCCTAAATATGTAGTGCCTCAATTAAAAACCATTTTGAAAGCTTTTTATGTTGTTACTTTTGCTTTGCCATCCCTTATCCCTTTATGGATAATTTGTTCTGTTTACAGTACCCTCATGATATGTGTTGCAAACAGAGGCCTGCAGCCTGTAAAGTCCTCCTATAATCCATCTTTGGTCTGGTGAGACGGTCAGCCAATGATACACCACCATTTTTCAGGGAAATGTTTCTACGGTTTCAATTAGGCTTTACTTTAAATAGCCCAGGGTTCTGTTGATCCCAGGCCTCGCCTTTGGCTTCCCTGCAGGGCTTATCACCCTGGGATGTTAAAGCTGGACCCTTGAGATGTAAGCATATGTCAGCACATTAACCCCTAGACTGACTAAGCATGCTGGCCCACAAAAACAGCTGCTCCACTTCGTGATACACTTGTTGGCTATAGTTTCAGAACTCTATTTTCCTTCTCTCACGTAAGTTTAGCTTCACCTCCATAGTGACTCATCCTCTTTACGTTGTGACAACCATTACAGCATGTACCACTTAGAGGTCAAGGTGTGTCATTCTCCTAACTGCAGTAATAGAGTTTCACCACAATTGTGACTTGGTGACATGGTCGCCTACTTATTTTATCTTTACTTGTGTCATACAAGTTCACATGTGCACTCCCCTGTTACAGTTTAATGAAACTTTTTAGTAGAGAAAATCCCTAACTGAATAATTGTCTTAGTGTTTATGGCTTATTGGCTCAGCGGCGATGTCGTATAACATTGCATGCTCTAGCTCATTAAGTACAAATCTCATACACGTCACATTGGTGCGGGCTCTTTTCTAAAGCATAAGTGTTTGTTTGAATGATCTATTATTTTGCAGTGGAAAATAAAATGCCAATCCATCACTAGTTAACAATTGTGTAGTGCGTGTGTTTTGTAGATACACATTATCAGATTTGAAAGTTGGAGGCAACGTTTTTCAAAAAGTTTCCATGTTTCTTTCAGATTTCTTATCTTATAGATACATATATTTCCAGGTAATGATTTAAAACCTTTTTTAAATTGTATGAATTGCCCCCAGCATCAATGTCTGTTACACCAGAGTAGAACACCATATGTGAAGAATATTTTCTGTAAAGTCTCAAGCAGGATAGTGCTGAAAAGGATTTATGATTCATGATGGGCATTCTTAAGGCTGTTGTGTTTGAAGCTGGTTTGAAGTCCACCAGCTAAACGTTTTTCCTCATGGAAGTTTGAGCAAAAATCACTTTAATTAATCCAGATGCAGTCACCTCACCGCTGGGTACAGCTGCCATACCCCCAGTCCTCCTTTCTAGTCTTTCTAGTGCGGTGACACTGTCCTGATAATTGCACTGTCAAGGTCAGAGATGCTTAAGTTTCAGTACACTGTTGAAGTGGAAGAAATTGAATCAAAGGGCTCTCAGAGGGTCTAATCCTCACAATGGAATGGCTTTGATTGTGACCAGGAGCAATTAAGCAAAGGTGCGCGTGTGTTTGGTCAATATATCAGTCACTGAGAGTCACTTTGGCACATATGAGCACTTTGAAACTTGCAAGGTATTTTAATTCTTTGTGTAATGCCTGAGATTTTCCTATGTTTTATCACAAACAGATAAAGAGAAATGTAAACCACTAATGTTGAAAGAACATATTTCTTTTATTTCAGTGGCATTAAATGTTTACAATTTAATCCTCCTGAATTGAGAGTAGCAATTTTGATAAGGATTAAAGCATTGGCGAGGCGCGACCATTATGTTTAACTTCAAATGCAGGTCATTGAAGTCTGCTGTTGTCCTTTTTGCACAACCTCCTGACTCCTGAATATAATAAACATGAAGTTCAGCCACATCTAGGCCGCCGGTGTGTGTGGCGCCTAATGAGGGGCTGCTCGGAGAGTTTAGGCGGATGTTAATTTGTTTTGTTTTTGTTGTAAACTGTGTGTCTGTAAATAATGTGTACATGACGAGCTGTCCTTGCATGCCAGCCGGACAGGCCACACACATGGACTGACACAATAAGGCACAGGCACAGGCACACACACACACACACACACACACACACACACACACACACACACACACACACACACACACACACACACACACACACACACACACACACACACACACACACGTTTGAAGCAAGCCCTTTTAGTGGTCCCAGTAATCGTGGTGCCAAGTTCTTTGTTTAGAATGCATTCATGGTTTGATCATTAGTTGCAAGACACATTTTGGGCATTCAAAAAACGTCTACATTTTTATTTGTAATCTCATCAGCTGACAACATTTCAGGATAACAACTGCTGAATTGTTGGTCGGATAGTAGGCATGGTTTGAACATCTCTCATGTGCCCTTTTTCAATTTGGATAAATCACATTAAGCGTAACTCGGACATTAAAGTCAATGCTGTCATGTTTAGTTTGACTTAAAAGGATGGTTCATTGTATTGCCTGTTTATTTTCTCACATTCAATTATTCAGAAGGTTTTGCAGTTTAACAGTTTTTCCAGTGTACATTCTACATTGTGGTACTTTACTCTTCCGGGGGTAGGGTGGTCCAATCATTGTACACGGGCAGACCGGTGAGCGACGGCAACACACACAACTCTGTAAAACTTCTCAAAGGCCCTGAAAATCCTAAAAATAGTGCTTTCACACACCCACATAAAGGCTCACATGCAAAGCATATGTAAACGTCCATATACACACCAACATATTCCAACACAGTACATTTACGCAGGAAGTAGCACATGTGCAGGCAGAAATGCACACACATATACACACACTCTGAGGCCACACGGGCAGCCGCCACCACCACTAATGCAAACATGGGATAATATTAGCTGTCTATAAAATGGCTGGTCATATTTTTAAAACACCAACACAGGTTCATGAACTGCTGCATAAAAGACTATCATAGTTGCAAGCCCAAGCTGCTCGGCTTCAAATAACCCTGGGATCTAACTTAAGACCTGGAGAGGTGCCTGCAGGGTATTTCTGGGTCCACATTTACAGGTGTTTATTCAGTGGCAGCAGTGCCAGGAGGTTAATAGGATACCCACTTTAAGAAGTTCAAATAGACTAAAGTCCATGTTGTTGCATTTGGGGTTATTTGACCCAAGGAAGTCCGTGAGGGAGGCTTCATAGAGCAGAAGAACGCCTTTAAAGTCCCTTGAGGTGCCACTTCTATCGCAGCTATTTTAATTTACAAACGCCAAGCCATCAAAGTATGGTGAGATAAGCCGGTCGGGTCTGAGACTGTGGAATGATTAACAAAACATCAGAACTCTCATTGAGTTAAGCATCTCTTGTTCCATTATTCATAATAGAGCATTGCAGAAGATGCCAGACTTCTTCATATTTGCATAACATGGATAACATGTTGAGGTACTCTCTGTGCTGCAATGATGTTTAATCTCAATGAGATTTATCCTGGTAAAATAAAGGAAAACAAAGAAAAGAAAAATGGTAGTGCAACTCCACTATGTGCACTTTACCCTAGATTGGTGCAAATCTAGTGACCAAAAATGTTACTTTCTTTAGTCCCTTTACAAAATGTTTGGTCATGTTGCAAAGCATGTTTTTTCAGATGTATGTTACAATCTGTTCCTTTTTTGGACAAAGGGAGGTACAAGTATCAGTGTTGACGTTGATTTTGAATGAAAGTAATTATTTATTTATTTTAGTCAAGTGCTCTGTGCTATATTTGTCTCCACAGAACTTAAACAAAATGTTCCTCCCCTTCCTTCATCCTTTCTCAGTTGAACCTTCTCACTTTCCTGTGTAGTTTTATACTAACCTCCTTTGTCTGCTCTTCTTCCTCTACAGGTTCATCTTCTCTGTTCATCCTGTATTGAAACTGATCCAGCCAAGCAAATTGTACAAAAGAGCTGAGAAACACTAAACATGGCTGTGGCCGGATGTCCGGATTATTTCCTGCATCATCCAAATTATCAGGTAAATGGAACCTTCCTATGTAGGAAGAATGTGTATGCTACTTTAACAGCTCAATTTGTAGAGATTAAATGTTGCCATTGTAGTCTAGACACCCTAGACTAAAGTTTGAAGCCAGACATTGATGTCAGTATCAAATGTGAAGCCAGATTTAGATTAGAAATAGTGCCATTGTCTGCATAAATTGCATTGCATTGGATCGTGTCACTGCGTCGGATGTTGGACTTGTTTATCGCCAGGGCATGGCGAACATAACTCATAAATTAAACTTCTTGGAATTTTTTTGTTGGATGAGTTTATGAAATTGGACCTCTATCCCTCTACAAACCAGACACTCTATTATTCAGCATGGGAAACTAATAATAAACCAGCCAAGAAGTACTCAAGGTTCTGTCGATTTGCTTCCAAGAATTCTAGGAAACGGTGAGGTTGGGTGTGAATCAGGTCACTGCGGTACTTTCCAACAGTCGGCCCTTGCCAAATTCTGCCTGTCCCGGTCTCTTTTGATGATGCTCTTAATAGTCTATTTGGATTACTTGTTAGAGAGAGGGAAATAAAAGAATGGCCTTTGGTTACAGTTTGTCCTTTTAGTCAAGACTAAAGAGAGAGTTGGTGAATGGCAGTGATATGGTCATAACATTCCACCACTGTGAACACATAGAGTTCACAAAGAGCTGCAGGGGGACGGGCTATAAAAGAGTGTTGGTCCAACAGAGGTACAAAAGCATCTTGTGGTTGACAAGCCCCCAGGTAACAGCTGCTCTCTTTTTCTATGGTCGGCCCATGTGCTTGTACCCATACACACAGAGACACATACACTAGGGTCTTTTGTACTCGAGGGTATTTAATGTGTTATCACAATGGAAATCATATTTCATGTTCCTTGAGTACGTTTTCAAAAGCTCTTATTATATTGGAATGGAAAATGAGCAATGAATACAAAACATGCATAGAAAGGCCAACAGTTTTATATTTCTATCCTGGGTTTGTGTTGATTGACTGTAGCTCACATGATTGAAAAAGCAAAGCAAATACAGGAACCCAACCTCAACCAAATATAATGACAAGGCAATCATGATAATCAACAGCACTTGTTATGAACATTTGTTAGCTTCACAGTGATCGAGAGAGAAAGAGCAGGGCGAGGATGGGCTGAGCAAATCAATGCAGATTTACAATTGAAAAGGATGCTACACATTTTTATAAAGCAAATAAACAAATCAATCAATGTTGATCCTTGATTCTGTCACAAATTAATTGACCATGGGACTATTGTCCAGGCATGTGAATTGGGAGTTGTGCTCATTTGTTATCTTAAATACAGAACTTTTGCATTCATTAGGAAGATATGCTTCTACATGACCAAATGTTGGCTCATTGTCAGAAATAAGTCCTCTGGGACCAAATTCTATCGCTTCAGCCTCACTAGCTGAACTTGAGGTGCAGATCGTTTTTGTCTTTTAATCAATCTTAGGTTACATTTTCACCCACAATGTTAGGGCAGTCTAAACAGTTTTAATCCTGATGTGCTGATGTATTACTTAGCAAGGGTACACTCAACTGGAATATTGGTTTTCATTTAGGGTTAGGGGTAGGATTTGCACGGAAGCCTCCGTAGAGCAAAGGGCTTCCAAACATTTGTATTAGGGCAGTAGCACTATTAGCCTAATCAAGCTATTCTGTTGTCTGCAGGTCATCTGGGCAACAGCTTTATATATGACCTTTGACCTCAGAGCTAGAGGACAGAGAGTTCAGTCTGCTACACTCTCTTGGATCTCCACAGCTTAGAGAGACAGAAACCAAAAATCCATATAAGTCAGGCACCTAACCCAACAAAAATAAAACTACAGGAGACAAGTTCTGAGTTGAAGCTGAAGTTATACCCCCTGTGATGAATCATCATACATATAGTATCCAAAAAAAGAGAATTGTAAATATACTGTATGTAAGCTAATGTGCTAATGTATGTCACCAATCTCTCAAACACACCAAGCTCTCAAAATGTGTTGTATTTTGTTGATGTTAAAATCAACTACTATGTTTAGCAGACATAGACTATTCCACTATTAGACACTGCCTTAAAAGCCATACAATGTGATTGCAGCGAGGAATCATCTAGTTCTTACATGTTTTTGAATTTAGCAACTGAGGCTACAGTTAGTGTGCAATGTACAGTTGGCACACACACACACACACACACACACACACACACACACACACACACACACACACACACACACACACACACTGAATTAGGGATGGGTATTGAGAACCGGTACAAAGTCAATACCGCTACCTGATTGGACGGTATCGGTATACCGTTAAGCCGCTGGACAAACGGTGCTACTATCGGTATATCTGTTACGTCTACTTCCTTAGTTTAACTTTAAACCATTCTGGTTGGTTGGGAACCCTCATCCCGTGTGATGTATCCGGTTTGAGACCCCTCTGATTGGCCACTGTAAATGCCACTCGTCATCTCTCTCAACAGCGCTCTTATTATTGTTGTGAGACTCCCGCAGGCATGGCGGACAGAGCGAAGCGATCGAAGGTCTGGGTGCACTGTAAAAAATGTAGTGGCGATAGTGCAAGGTGCAATCTATGTACTCAATTAGTTGCTTGTAAAGGGGGTAACACAAGCAACTTAATGAAGCATTTGCAAACGAGACACTCATTGAATCTAAAACGGTGCAGCGTATTTGACAGCCTAAACAATGTGGCTGCTAGCGATACTGCTAGTGCTAATACTAGTGATGTGTCAGTCGCGAACGAGCCGGCTCGCACCCGCGAACGAGCCGTTTTGTTGTTGTTGTTGTTGTTATGTAATACAAGACAGAATGATGATGATGATGATCTCCGTGCTACAGCTGCTCCGTGCATGCATGCAGTGACATGTAATATTATATTATTATATTTTTGCCATCTTAGCCTTTTTTACCAATTTCTTCATTTCACAGTTTTGCATGATGTCACTGTAGGACAATGTTTTAAGGATCTCTTGTCGAGCTAGGTTGTCAGTTTGAAAAGTTCTGGATGAAGATGTAACTGATTTACAAATGTTAAAAAAATGCCTCTTTTCATCCTCTGTCTGAGGGAAAACCCCAACAAGAATGATAGGGCAAGCCAGGCCCCTTTAAGTTATTTTTTTTTTTGTCTGCTTCTGAGAAGCTAATGTATAAGTTATACAGTTATTTCTGCAAGAAAATTACAATAAAATGACTGTTTAATCTTCACATCTCGTATTCATGTCTATCATTTTGAGCACCAAATTATTGAAAAGTATCAATAAGAGTATCGAAAAATACCGATACCGATAAGCAGTACCGGTATCGGTATCGATAAAATCCTAACGATACCCATCCCTACACTGAATGATAGCTGTTAAAAGAACTAAACTTCCATAAATACATGCTATGCTGTATATACATGTAAAACAAATCTGGGCTCTCATGTATAGTAAAACTTGAGTCGATTAAACAGTAAAATGAGAGAGGAATCTCTTTTTACCTATAAAATAATTGTCATGGATAGTTGTATGCCCTTTAGTGTATAGTCACACAATTCCATTTGTTTTGCTTAAGCTTTTGCAATGTTTATATTTCACTGCTCTGTTTGTGGGTAATTTCAGTCGTGTGTAAATGTAGATTTGGTCTTGAGGCTTTGGTTATTGAGTTGACTTTGCAGCTTCTACTCAGTCCGTCAACAGATTTAGTTTAATGTAATGCATTATGATACTATTAAATCGTTTTTAGGCAAATGAATGTCTCAATTTCTTGCTGGCTGCAGTGGCTAGGCAGGATCACCAGATTAAGAATGATATATTCCACAGGGATGATTTGATACACACTGGTAGATGCTTCCATGTTTAATGTTTATTAATCTAGGGATGAGGGATGCTTTACAGGATATTTTTTTATTAAAAGAAAATATGATTATTTTTATCTGCCAATGTTATGTAAATAAATGTCAAAGCCCAGCTTGTCAGCAGCTCAGCTGTGCTGTGACAGCAGCTGAGTCCCACTGTATAAACAAACAGATAAACGAAGCACTAGAGCAGACATTAGTGTGACCTCCTGATCCCATTCTGGTTAATTATGTAAGAAGGGATTTTGACTTGCTGTCTAGTATTCATGAAGGTGTTACCAGGAATGTATACAGAAAGCACTATTACTGTCAGCAAAAAATGTCTGCTAGAAGGTTGAGTAAGATTTCCGAAAAGTTAGTTCTGGGTTAAGCGAACCATAATGAACATTTCATGCTATTTTTTTAATGTTCTTATGAATCCAGTCCACTCTCAGCTGGTCTTTCTTAGCTAAAAGGCTGTCAGTAAGCCCAAGTGTTGATCTACATTCAATAGCCGGTCATTACATTTAACCTCAGTCTGACCTCTTTTAAAGGCGTAGCTTGACATGCGTCTCAGTCTTTTCCTTTTTGTTTGAGCCCCGATCTCTGGACTTTTGTGTCTGTCCTGCTGTCAGTGACTTAACCTTGTCTCTGGCCCTCCACTGACCCCTTTTTAAAAGATAAACCCTCGACCCCTAATTTGAAGTTCCTTTCAACTTCATCAATATGAAAGGGCCCTTATATGCTACTTGTCAAAACTGGGCCTACCCTCAGTCCTATTTTGACCCCTCTCTAAGAACGTAAGCAACATGTGTGTGTGTGCATATGTCTAAGATAATAAGTGTATGAGAAAAAAAGTATAAAAGATGAAGCCCATCTGGGTTTTTCATTCAGCACACAATAAAAGAAGAAATGTTGACTTTTTTTTCCCTCAGTCTTTGTTGTCTCAACATTATAAGCTTTAGTAAACCCTTAGCCAAACGCAAACGCAGAGTTAGCCAATGGCATGGTTGAGAATTATGCTAAATGGTCGGTATTTATAGGATTAAACCCCCAAGTTAAAGTTTTGTTAATTGTCCATAGTGGCATCAAAGGCTGTCTGGGATTTGGGACTTTTGTCGGTAAGATCCACAAAAGAGATCAAGTTGTGCTTTAAAGATCCTTTAGTTCTTTAGTGCATGTGTGTTAACTCATTTACTCCCAGACATGCAAAATAGTTTCAAGACCGGTATATAGTCTGAAAGAATCCCTACGTTTTTGCTCAGTGGAGCTGAACCATGACCATCCTGTCCTGAACACACACACACACAATCACACATACATACACACTAACGGCTTACCATCCCACCACCAAACAGTGTCCCAGTGCTGTTTGGGTGGCTGGGTAGGGATCTGTCACAGTCTGGTAGCTGGACCCCCACACAGTATGTGTTGATGATGGGGTTTGCTATTTAATGGGAATACATCGGGTGATGCGGTGGTTATTTTACCTCCCTTTTTTTATTCCAAAAGAAGGTTAGTCCCATTGCGCTCCAAAATATATTTTCCTACCCGGCCAAGACGTCTGGAATGCAAGACAATACAAAGACGGAACAATGCAATGTAATGATTGCATGCGTGTGGGTTAGTTGGTATAGCAGAAGGGTTGGGGGGTGTGTTGGTGGACAGAACCATATGCTGATTTTGACTTTCCAGTTATATCCATTTTAGTGTGGACGTAGGCGACAGTGTATGCAGCAGAGAGGAACACTTATAACTTTTTCTTCACTGGCAAATCATGGATTCTTTATTTTGTAGACTATTTTATTTGAAGAATTGAGTCATCAGAGTGGAATTCTACCTCAAGATTTACTCTCACAGTGAGTGAAATCCCTACAAAATGCTCATTAAGTCTTGTTCAATGACCTTTAGGTCATTTCCATGTTGTTACAGATGATTTAGAACAAGTGTTTTAAATGAGCACTATAACCAGGGGTTACCTCTGTCTGATTTCAAACTCTTCCATTAACAGAATAACAAAGTAAAACAGAGTAAGTTTGCAACTGTGTGTTTTACTCCACTTTGTTAATAAAACTGCAGCAGCTTAACCACAGAGCGTGAACGTTGTGGTCAGCTGATTTTGCGCAGTTCTTCAGTTTGTGCATGGGGCACAGAGTGTGCTCGGGGAGTCTCCCACTGCAGCCAGTTGGTGGAGTTTTGGCACACTTCTGTTGTTCATACCGACGTTAACCCTGTCTGTGCACACGGCGACCAACTCGCCTTTGCCTCCTGTAAAGCTTCACAGGTCCGTCGGTTATGTCCTGCGCGGCTCGGCCAGCACCCAGTTCAGTCAGTCACAGAAAGTCCGAAGAGTTTTTGCAGGGAGCGAAACGGCAACGTAGCTGCTTAATGTCTTTGTATTTTGTTGACATGTCTCGTAGTTTACTCCATTGACTGTTGACAAGAAACACGTGTAGACGAAATATGTGTTTTGTTTAGATGTTTTGAGGTACGCAAAGGCGTGTAGTGACACAAGTGATGTTACGCAATTCAGATTTTTGTCGCGCATGCGTACCTGCGTACAAGTTATGTGCACCCCTGACTATAATGTTGTTTTTGTGGACAAATTTGAGCTTGAAATTCTTTAAGCAGCCTGTAAGGGGGAACACATCCAACCAAATGTATCTAAAACCTTTGAAATTCAATTAAAAGTACCTGTGCTTTAGGTTGGTTTTATAGTTTACGATACTCTGTGGGATTTTCTTACAGTGATTGGAAATATGTATGAGTAAGAAAGGTCAAACGAGTACATTGTCTTTAAATGGTATCTTAAACTGTGCTCTGATACACACCTGGCAGTGTTTTACACTGTTGGTGGGATGTAGTAGTGTTTTCAAACGGGCACTGTATAAAGAGTATCTTTCTCCTAACTTTTTTGTATTTTTCTGTATTTGATAAAAAAATATATGTATCTTGTAGCATTATCTCCAAATGGAGAAAAAAGGTATGTAGAAATAATTTTAAAAAAAAGGTATGATTTGGTTAATTAAAAATATAAACATTTGAAGGCAAATACTTCACATTAGATTCAACAAATACTACGAGCACAGCTGGCTCTCTTTTATGAACACATGTACAACTGCAATGACCTCAGCGGCTATAAGCACTTAGAAAACTCTATACTTTTATTAGTTTTGTCTGCATTTAAAATAGTCCCACATACAATTCTTCAATATGTGACCACTCATTTGGATAAAAACTTTTCTATCCAAAAAAAAAAAAGAACCCTGATGTATAGCTTACCGTGCTAAAATGCCATTCCATGGATTTGTTCTTTGTGTTTACCAATGTTGATTGTAATATTTTATTTTGAAATATGACATGTTTTCTTTCTTGCTTCTCTCTCCCACAGCAGGACAATATAGACCGGTCCTCCAATCACCGACAAGCTGACCTCATTGGTCCGAGCTTCCAGCAATCAGCCAATCGGAGTTCTCCTAACCATCAAGGTTGGTACACCACCTTCCATCAAAAGAAGTGTGTGTGTGTGTGTGTGTGTGTGTGTGTGGTGTGTGTGTGTGTGGTGTGTGTGTGTGTGTGTGTGTGTGTGTGTGTGTGTGTGTGTGTGTGTGTGTGTGTGTGTGTGTGTGTGTGTGTGTGTGTGTGTGTGTGTGGTGTGTGTGTGTGTGTGTGTGTTTGTGTGTGTGTGTTGTGTGTGTGTGTGTGTGTGTGTGTGTTGTGTGTGTGTGTGTGTGTGTGTGTGTGTGTGTGTGTGTGTGTGTGCAACAAAAGCTGTGTATTCTCCATTTATTTTCATATATAAAGACTACAAAGGTCATCGAAATTACCTGGGATTGTTGTAGTATTACTATGGGTTTGTGTGTGTTTCAGTACAGTGTGGACAGTGGCTTGCTCCTCATTATCTTCCACTGGTCCGGGGGGGGGGGGGGGGTCAAGGGGGATAATATATATTTGGGTCTCTTCCGCTGTAAACATTTCAGCAGTTCAAAGGATGATCTGCATAGACACAGGGTGCCATTATAATTACGCCGTCTATCTAATTGTGCCATACAGGGTTCATCCATGACAATCGGAGCATGAGATTTAGGCACAATATTGGCTCAGCATGGGAGGTAAGGGCGGGGAGTCTGCAAGGACCCAACCAGTGAATTAGAACGCTTGGCACTGGCATGGGAAATAAATGGAGCAGAAATTACATTGTAATTTTTCAGGATCAGCCGGGATGGAGGGAACTCAAGAGGACCAGAGAGACAGACGAAATAATTTAACCAAGACATTTAGTTTACACTGTCTGAATAATAATTTTTTAGAGGGACAGATGTTTTATTTTAGTTTGTTTCCAATAGTTTGTTAGTAGTCAGGAGCTTGATTCATTTGTGCAGACCATTTAGATTTCTGTCAGATCTCCTTTCCTGTATTGTTCTTTTTTTATTTATGAAAAAGTTGTCAAATAAGCTACAACTTTTAAGTCTTTTTACCATTCAAGCCTGTTCACAAGCTGTGTTACATATCATCCTCATGGTCTATATTATTTGTGCAGACATTTTTAATTTAGCCTAGTTCCAGTAGTGCAGGGGTCGGCAACAGGCGGACCGCGGTCCGGATCCGGACCCAGACGCCGACCTATACGGACCCGGACCTATAATCAATACATTAATAGGGTTACAAGCGGCCGAGATGGGTTTTCTCCGCAGGGTGGCTGGTGTCTCCCTTAGGGATAAGGTGAGAAGTTCAGTCATCCGGGAGGGACTCTGAGTTGAGCCGCTCCTCCTTCACGTCAAAAGGAGCCAGTTGAGGTGGTTTGGGCACCTAGTTAGGATGCCACCTGGGCGCCTCCCTAGGGAGGTGTTCCAGACACGTCCAGCTGGGAAGAGACCAAGGGGTAGACCTAGGACCAGGTGGAGGGATTATATCTCTTCGCTGGCCTGGGAGCGCCTTGGGATCCCCCAGTCAGAGCTGGTTGATGTCGCCAGGGAAAGGAACGTTTGGGGCTCTCTGCTGGAACTGCTACCCCCGCGACCCGACCACGGATAAGCGGGAGAAGATGGATGGATGGATGGATAATAGGGGATTTCAATTTTGACGGGGCGATTCTATTTTAACCGCCACCGACAGGGGGCGAAAGAGACGAGTGAGTGATACAGGGAGAGAAACACAGAAGAAGAGAAACACAGAAGAAGAGACGAGAGCGCGGCAGAGAGAAGCGGAGAGGAGAGTGAGTGAAGAGAATAATTAGCGATACAGGGAGAGAAGCGGAGAGGAGAGTGAACAGGCGTGTTAGCGGCAGACAGGAGAGAAATAATTACACATGGCGCTCTCCAAGAAGAGGAAAGTGGACAGTGAGAACAGAGCTTTTAACCCTGAGTGGACGGACTCATTCATGTTCATCCTGCCCACTGGGAGCACAGAACCAGTGTGTCTCATTTGTTCAGAGACCGTGGCGCTCATTAAAAGTGCCAAAACGCCACTATGAGACAAAACACAAAGTGTTTGACCAAACATTCCCTCTCAAGTCAGAACTGAGGTCACAACAAATAAATATCGTTCCAGGGCAGGCTAACCGAGGCTAACCAATGAGCACCTGCATGTGTGTATGAGAATGGCCCTGACACCATTTCAGCCCAGATCTAAACTCCTGGCAGGACAAGCTCCAGCTCAATTCTCACACTGAACAAAACAAAGTGAGTGAGGGACTGCAATATAAGAGGGAAAGAAAGAGAAACTTTAAAACTGTTAAATTGTTATGATGTGTAAAGACTGATATTGTTCTATAATCGGCTGAAACTGTTAAGTCATGATGTGAAACGGTTAACAAAGAAAAAGAGAAACTCAAGCTGCTGCTACACTTTATTTTATTTATCTAAAATTAAGCACTTTTGAGATGCACATATTTTCAAAAGCTATTTTATTTATTTTCTCTATTTCATTTTTAAATGCAGCCCGAGAGGAACATTACACATATCCACAATATTTACTGTATATCTGTATAGTTCAATGTTAATTGAAAAAATATATATAAATATTGTTGTTTATGAATTGTACTTTCTTTATTTGATTGGCAGTCAGTTATTGATTACATGCAGACGTTGATAAAGCTACATGCTACTTATATATATCACACTAATTCATGAAGCAAGTTAGACATTTTGAAGCTCCGGACCTTTGCATGGGGACATTTTCTCTAACTGGACCTTGTTGAATTTTAGTTGAATACCCCTGCTGTAGTGTTATTAGTAGGATTGTAATCCTTGCTGACATTATTAAATTCAAAACCACTAAACTATGTATTAATTATTAGAAGGCTATTAGAGCTCCCATAAGCTAGAACAGTCATAAACCAATTCATTTTTGGAGGGAATAGTATGTGTTTTTTGGGAACATGTCTTCCATTATTTGACATGCTGGTAATGAGATGCTATTGCACAAGTGGCTTTTGTAGCATTGAAGTGACTTCAGTCGTATAGCCAAGTCCATTGTATATAGGATTATATAACTAGCTCTCTGCCAAAGGCCAATACAATATGAAAATACAAAAAAAATACTTCAAGGACTAGATTTCATAATCACCAACCATCATTGAGTCAACAGTTGGCCCATCCATCTGTTTTCTTAGAAGATATGAGAGAAAAAAGACAGCAAGTGTTAAGATTACATATTTTTTCAGAATAAGCAAGACAGTTGGCAGTTAGGAACCTGCTCTTTTCTTAGTTCAGGACATCGTGTGCCCTGGCATAACATGAAGTCTGGAAAAGGACAGAAAAAGACAAGAGAACAAATTAGAAACTGGGAAAAGTTGAGTTGCTCACATCAAATGTGATCTACTGCTTTTACTTTAGTTATGACGTAACTAGGCATTCGAGTGGCCTGGGATACATCATGAGTTTAGTTTAGTGGCATACAATTGTGATACATACGTGGAGGTTATTAAGTATTTTTTTATTGGCCAATATCTCAGAATGTTATGTACTAGCTAAATATGTCTGAGGCAAGGCAGTTCAATCCTGTTCCACGCTGTAGCAGACCTGCTGATTTTGTGTAATTTTTAGTGAGTCTGTGTACGTGCAGGACCGTGACATTCTCACCCGTCTGTATTTGGCTTATAACTTTGTTACAATAACGAAAGGAAGAGGAAGCATGGGATATATTTAACCTATAATTAAACTGCTTATAGGTTCTTATGAGAGGAGTGGTTTAAACGTGAGGTATAAATGAACTCAACAATAATGCCTATGATATCGTTTGATGCTTCAAAGTTTTATATCTGGTTAGGACTTCCATAGTTCAGTTATGGCCCAAAACTTAACTTAAAAATAGTATGAACAACATGTTGGAAATGTATTACAATTAAGTGTTGAAACATGAATTTGGATCATTTACCTGACAATACAAGCTAAAGGACGTGTTTCTGTTTTACCGTTTAAACCACTTCGCTTGGCACAAGAGGGTGGAGTGGGTGTTCAGTTTATTTTCCCCTCTTCCGAATCTTCAGGGGTTTAAATACAGTGCGTGCGTGCCTGCCTGCATGCTGCCTGTGTCATCAATCTGTCAGCCTTACCGCCGGGTGAATGACGCAGGCCTTTGTTTGCCTGATTGTGACATACACAGGTGATTATGATCGTATGACAGATAATGACGCAGCATTCCCACATCCATGAGTGAGTTTAAGGGTTGTTTCTTTGGAAGAAAACATCTCAGCCAATTCCCATCCAGATGCCAAACTAGGTCATATTTCGGAGGAAACTTATTTTCTCTCTCTAGCCTGGGGTTACATGTCTCACCTTGTGTGATTGATGGATGATGAGTATATGTTTTGTTCGACTTTTGCTTTTGATTTGTTTTTATCTAGCATAACCAGATAAGTGTTTGTTTGATTTTGTTGTTACATTTGTATTTATTTTTTTGTTTAGGTTATGTGTCTCTGTTCTCTGTTACAAGTGTCTTGCCCTATCTGTTCTTAACTTGTGTATGGCCACGTATGAACCCTGTGTTCTGTGGTACATAGCTCTTTAGCTCCGCAGGATAACTATAAGTAGCTGCTCCAGCTTACATGTCACTATTAATACTGGCAGATTAACCACCTATGATTTACAGCCACCTGTGATACAGCTAAAAGACGCGTTTTCAGGAAAAGCTCCACAAAGGCGACACTTTAGGTTCATAAGTATAGCTTTCAGCCTCAGTGCTAAAGACAAGCTCATCTGTGTCTCCTCATGTTGTTTGTGCCTCTGGAACAAGTAGTTCCATAGGAAACTAATTCCATCCCAGGCTTAAGGGCTCCCTTTGAAGCCAGTGCTTTAAAACTTTATGTCAATCAAATAGTTTTTTCCCAACGTCAGCTTTCCGCTGAGCAGTGGGACTTTTAGAGTGGCATGACCCTCACAGCACCTTGCAGGATCCAGCTGTCAGCTGTCCTGCACTCTGAGCTGTGGGACAATTTCATGAGTCACAAAGTGCAGGGCACATTTTAAGCCTTGTAGTTCTGGACGGAAGGACTGCATGGTAAAAGTTCAATTGAACATCCAACAAATGTGCTTCTTTTTTTAAAACACGCTTTTAAAGTGTGTTTGCTTTGAACCTAAAAATGCTCAGATAATGACAAAGCACCAAATCATTTACTTCCTAACTGTATTCATGGGCTGCTCAGAAGATGAAATGAGAAATAGCCAGTTTGAATTTAGAAAAATAAACACATAAATAAATGTGAAATAGTTAAACCATCTGATCAGATGGTTCTCTTACCATTACTGCAAATAGCAATGCAACTTATTCTCTGTCTATTATTTGGTTACAATGTAATGCATGTCATTTAAATCTGCCTGTAACACTAGTTAATATGTGAGACCATGTCAGTTTGAGAGCCCCTACAGTACACTTTACAATTAGAGCCTGTCCCCCCCTAGTGGTTTACTTATGTCCTACAGTACAGTTGGCAGGATCTGGATGATCAGAGATTTGATGATTAATTCATAATGGAGAATTATATATCATAGGACGAGTCAACACTGCAGATTGTAATTCAGAAAGAGCAAAGTTATGCACCCAGTTTACCCGGATGTTAAAACGTTCATAGCATAGAGCAATTAGAAGGAGATCTTCCCTTCAATTGTGCTCGCTTCAAACTTCGATACAACATGCACCCTTCGGTGGAAAAATTATCTTCATGAATTTAAATGAGCCTAGAGGTTTTCACAGGGGCTTTGAGGATAGATTCCACCTCTGAAAAGAATCCAGTTTTTTAAGACCTTTTAAAAGCACAATATTTAAAACATGCTGTGAAGTCGAAGCAGATGCTTACTGTGCCTTCGCTGTGAACCCCAGCGGTGAGAGTTGAAAAGTGTTAGGGGCAGGTTGGAGCTTGTTCCTGTTATCCCTGGAGATTTGGCTCACAGAGGAGCACAATGTTCGTAGTCAAGATACTTCTTCTGATTGGGTGTGAGTGTGTGTTCTGTGCCTGTCAGTTTTTTCTTTTTCTTTTCAGTATTACTCAGAATCAAGGTGGTGCAAACAAAGTGAGGTCAAGGGTTGGAATCCGGCCACAATGAAATGATAGAGAAACTAAAATAGAAAGGGAAAGTCCCAACAATATCCAGGGACTTTCTTAGTTTTAGTGTGTGCCTCAACTATTTGAAACCAAAACAGAAAGCTTAGAGGAATTTCATTTTTCCTTTTTTATTATGTTTTTCGGTTTTGATTTTCTCCCAAGCTTTAGTGTTGTGTATTCTGCTCCACTATGTCCTTACTTTTAACATGATTTACTAATGTGTTCCCTTTCTATATATCTCCTCCAGAGGATGATGTCGATTTGGAGGCCCTGGTGAATGATATGAACTCTTCGCTGGAGAGCCTGTACTCCACCTGCAGTGGTCAGCAGACAGAGTCAACCCCACTGCTGCACAATGGACAGACCTCTTCCTCACACCAACAGCACCATCACAATCACGTGCAACACAACCAGCCTCGGCAGGGTCAACACTCACTTGCTCTAAGCCACGTCTCCCCAGAGCCGCCCTCCTCTTCTTCGTCGTCTGCAGACTCCCCACAATCCAGCCTCAGGCGGTCACAACCCATGCACATCCTCGCTGTCAGGTACGTGCTTCTGGAGTAAACGCAGATATACATTTTCTTAATATTTATTTTCCCACTTTTACAGATAATAGTTGGATTGGCACCAGACTACTTTGATGAACAGATCTAAATTTGAATGCAAGAAAATGTACGTACATTATTTTTGTCTGCAGAACGGTATAGTGAGTGTCCTTCAAAGCACCATAGCTAAAAACCAGCATCATAGAATAATAAGGTGCTTCCACATGAATGTTGGTATGACACGAACCGGGTCTGTCAATCAGGTGCTCAAGTGCTCTTGAGCAAGACATACATTTTCCTTGCATCCAAAGGTTTCATACCTAAACTTGTGTTGCTTTTGATGCAACAGAAACACTTGTGATAATAAATGCAAAAATGTTTTGTACTTGAAACTTGACAAAAAAGTGTAACGTGATTTTTAGCTAAAGTTTTTATTTAATGTAAAGCAGTCAATAAACAATTTATCAAACCAAATGAATTGGTTATTCATACGGAACCAATCAATTCATAATAAATAAATAAAAAATAAAAAAACATATTAAATAATAAATAATATTAAATTGGCTCAGCCTTTGTTGAATGTATTTAACACAATTTTTCATACATCTTTCCTCAGTAAAGTGTTTGCTCTCCTCAGGTGTTTCACAGTAACATCAAACGCATTAGAATTAAAGACGCTTGGAGCTAACCATGCACATATACCAGCAGTTAAAAATGTAATTAAGACTTCAAACATGCACCATGGCACCAAACTTAAAGCTAACTCCTTCCAGCTTCATACATTTGCACATGCATAGCCACACACACACACACACACACACACACACACACACACACACACACACACACACACACACACACACACACATATAGAGCTTTTTTTCTTTCTTTCTCGCCACATCCTCTCACTCCACACTATCATTCCTCACCACCTTCCCAATAATTGGGCATAACGTTTCCTCCCCGCTCCACGTCTGTAGCCTTTGAATGACCCGTTCCTCCTTGTCACTCCCTCTTTGTCTCAAACTACACCAGTAGGAGGAGAAATGTAAACAATCTCATTTATTTGAGTACCACGTACAAATGTCTCTCTCAATTTGAAGAATACTAACCCATTTTCTCCCTAAGGCTGTTATTGTATGCATTCAAAAGTAGGATTGCTCACACACACACACACACACACACACACACACACACACACAAAGTCCCCATAAGTATGGATGGATGCATGCGTTTAGTGCACACAAACACAAAGGCATCCACAGCTGAGCTGGTGTCAGCTCCTATTATTCGCCTTTGGAGTATATGAGAGGAACAGAGGAGGGATGATCAGGTAATGGTGTCTTCTGTCTTATGAGCTCTCTCTCTTTCAAACACACGCACACTCAGGCTCTGAAGTTCTTATTATTCAGGGCTGACCTCCGAATAACCCTGTTCTCAAGCTCAGATGGGACAACATCAAAAGGCCCGTTTCCTTTTGAACTCGCTGCTTTCTACAGAGAGACAGTTTGACGGAGAAAGAGACTAAGAGAAAAGCGTCTTCCACAGTGATTCTCTGAGCTACAGTAGCTGTCTAGATAGAATTCTACACACTTGCTTGAGTGAATCCTTAAAAAGTTAGGGTTAGATCAGCTGTCAAATCCTCCTTCCTCTCCCAGGCTGTGAGCTTTACTGTACTGTATGTGCCTAATTTAAAAACTGATTTAAAGTGATGTCGTGATTTAATATTGATGTGTGATGAATATTGCAGGACATTAGCAGGCACACTGCGGGGGTCTGTGATTTCCACTTGCTGGGAGACAGTCATTATGGGTAGATCAGATCGAAACAGACATGAGCCTGGATACTGCACAGCAATGCTTTATTTATTCCGGCGCTCTCTTGCGCACATATTTCACATGTGTCAGCGGCTCTCATTTCAAAGTTCTCCCATCTCACTTTTCGGGAGGCTGTTTTAGGTCACAACCCTAAACTTCCATTCATCATTTTATTAGTGAACACACGCTAATGCTAAAAGTATGTTTGAACACGGTATCAACGTCCCTATGTGTTGTGTCCATCAGGAGGTTGCAGGAACAGGAGCAGCAGCTGAGGACATCCTCTCTCCCTGCCATCCCGAACCCCTTCCCCGAGCTCTGCAGTCCAACCAGCTCCCCTGTCCTCAGCCCCGGCTCTCTACCTCCAGGAGAACCCTCCACTGGCACATATGTAAGTCCAACCCCACTAAAACACACTGTAGAAACTTTTCAGAAACTTTCCAGGAATTAATTAAGGTTTCATTTTCCCAGCAGGCCTCTTTTGGGTTTCATATTTAACAAGGCGTTATAATATGGTGTGGTTGAACTTGATACTAAACATTGTTTTCGTACAATATGGGAGACCATGTCAGGATAACAGGATGTGAGACATCAGCGGATTTGCTTATATAACTGAGACTGGTGATTCAAGATATTTGTTTTGAACTATGCTGTATTTGAATAATGTAAATCAGCTGTGTTTATTGGTCAAGTGTGTTGGACATAAGCGTTTAGGAATGTTCCACGCTCTACATCTGCCCCATGTTTTGCTCATCCGAAGCATGCTGATTGCTTGCATGTGTGTGTGTGTGTGTGTGTGTGTGTGTGTGTGTGTGTGTGTGTGTGTGTGTGTGTGTGTGTGTGTGTGTGTGTGTGTGTGTGTGTGTGTGTGTGTGTGTGTGTGTGTGTGTGTGTGTGTGTGTGTGTGTGTGTGTGTGTGTGTGTGTGTGTGTGTGTGTGTGTGTGTGTGTGTGTGTACCTGCACACATGGCTGTATTTCTGTGAGCCCGTTTGCATTTGTGAGTTCTAGTGTTGACTAAGATTTAGAGACTGGTCTGTCTATTCCTGGAAGTCAGAGTCCCCCATCGTCACTGCTAATGATCTTCACATGGGGCCAGCCTATGCTGCTTACAGTAACATACCAAGTTACAGTAAATGTGAGGGCGGACTACTTCTCATAAATACTCTCCCTGGCTGTGATCCTGGCCTGTTCTGGTCATGGCTGTTATGGTGCGAGATCAGAAAGCAGTTCCAGTTAAGTCTGACTTTAATACGACTTACTAAGTCAGTACATAAATGACAAGATGAAGAGATAAATCCCTTGCATCCAGTAAATGCTTTAAGAGATGGGAAGTTGTGGCTCTGAATTACCATCTATGACAAAGTTGGACAGAGTGTTTAAAGATTAGAAATAACTTTAGTCTTCATGAGCAAAGGTATTTCTTTCTCTGTGGGAATGTCATAAGCTTGAATCACAAGCTGTGGCACACATTCAACACTGGATGGTAAGTCTCAGTTCATACGATAAAGAGGTCAAAGATGAATGCCTTACTAAAGGGTTATGAGTTCTGCACTGAATTATTAGCTGTTACATAACTTTGACTCTATATAAGTAAAGCAGGCGTGTCTGGTAAATATTCCGAAACCAATTTATTAGGCTGGGTGACCTGTTCGGGACGGGAATATTGTTGTTTTTTGAATTCCCAGACGGCTTGTTAAGAGGGCAGTTTAAACCAGGAAGTGGAGTGGGGGATTAAAGGAGGTGCAGGGGAGTTGGAGATTAGCAGTGGAGGTAAATTATTTCTGTGCTGTTCGTGCCCCTGAAGGGACTACTAGATCTGTTGTTCACATGCACATTTTAACCTCACATAAAAATGACCATTTATTGTTCTCCCATGATAACTTTGAATGTAGCATTTACGGTTAATGTTTAGCTTTTGAGGGGAGAACTCAAATGTACGTGAACCCACACTCCATTACTTTCCATAATATAATGAGATTGTTTGCACAATTTTTGGGGATTTTAGTTCGGAAAAGTTATTTGTTTTATCAGCCATATTAGAGAATAGGAATTCACGTGAAGTGTAACAAGGGTGTTTCCCATCTGTTGATACACTGACATATGCTCAGAATGTACTAAAATCTACTCATGGCTGTAAAGGTATACCGTTGCTGAAAAAACTAAGTTTGAATCCGTTTTGTATGGCATGGACTACCAAACTTTTGCAACATAAACGACGATTAAGAGAAAGAGCTGTTGAAAATGTGATTCTCTTTGTGTGTTCTCATTGCACACCCTGTGTTCACACTCATGTAAAGTTTTGTGAGTGTGCTGTGCATTCAGCCACAATGTATATATGATGTATTTGTTTTTTAAAAGGCGTGTTTGTCTCTGTGAGGTCCTTAAACTATTTACAGCATTGGCTCTGTATATCCATTGTTGATGGAAATGGAAAGAATGTTTCACTGTGGTTGTTCTTCAGTGGAAATTCAATTCGGCACCTTTTCTTCTCATCACAGACATGTGCATTTGGGTCCAGCCCCTGAGGCATGTAGAACAGTGGTAACACTGCTTTCTTGCAAACACATATTCCTCCCTTCAGGGGTTGGTGGTGGTCTGTTTAGTTTAACAAGTGAGATGGTGAGCAGGTCAATCATTCACCATCCACCCACACTGAAAGACCTCTAAATCATGACAGTTTTTCCCAATGTGCTCTGTTTTGTGCTGATTATCATCCGTTCACATCTGTCTCTGTCTGTCTGTCTTTATTTAGCCCTCTCCCTGCCCTCAAATCCTCCAGCCAGCCTGCTGGTGAGGAGTTTCTCTGTTTAGTTTACAGAACTTTCCAACCCCCAGGCACTTTCTGACTCTCATACCTCTGTCCCTCTGTTCCTCCTTACCTCACTCCTTGGCCTCTGTGCAGGAGGCATGAGGACGCAGCGCTGGGCTGTCAGGAATCTCTGGGCAAGCTGTTTGACATGGCCATACAACTCCCAATTACCTCACTTTCCTCTCGCTCCTGTCTTTTCCCATTTCCCCTCCTTCTCCCAGTTTGTCCTTTAGCTGTACATTCCTAAAGGGGAAACTCTGTAATACAGAAAAAGTTTGCCCAGTGATTTGAAATAAATATAAACAAATGGTAGTGCAATGTTATGTAATGCAGTTCTGCAGAGTGCCAAAGTTATTCTTTGAGCTGTTCTGAAGTGCATCATCAATGAAAAATACAAGGATCATCAGAGTATATACAATTAGTTAATTTTGGAGTTGCAGGATGATTAAGAACATTGAACAAGGAAGCTGCCATGAACACTGGCACTAGTCCATTGTGTTATGTGTGAAAGTGTGCACAGATGGGCAATATCCTTCAAAATACTGACTTCCTGTGCCCACTAAAGGATTACTACAAACAAAATATGGGCTTTATGAATTTCTAAAACTCCATACATTCCATATAGAGCCAACTGGTATTACAACCAAGCTACACTTAAGAAGATTCTCCTAGCTTGGCCTGTGTAATCCATGTCGTGCAATGGAAAAACCTATAAGAAGCCCTGAATGCAAGGCAGTTATAGCTAGTATATCCATTAATTTTCTCAGTTTAGTTCCTTGACAGTCTGTCCTCAGTGGTGCAATAGAGAGTGCTGTTGTGTACTTACTTGGACACTCTGTTCCCATAGCTTACCCCAGTCGTTCTAGTGTGGGAACACTGATTTGATCACTGGGTTGCCAGATTTTGCTGGATTTACTGTACTTGGACTGGAAGTCCTGTAGCTCACTGTGCTCAATGGTATGGTCGGATCCCCACAACCCTGTCTCTGCCTCTCCAGTCTGTGTTTCATTATCTTTATATTGGTCCGTCTATCTCTGTGTCTCTTGGACTGTATGTCAGTGTTTATCTCTCTGTCTTTCACAAATCTTCCTCAGTCATCCGTCTACCCTTTGTCCTTTAACTCCAAACGTTTAGTTCAGTCAACATTTCTGATTTTAGGAAGTGCGCAGTGTCCCGTCATAAATTAGCTCACTAGAATACTTATTCACACATTATGAAGTAAGACCTAAAATAGAGCCTGGTGCCAGACGAGCAGTGCACGAAGGTTGGTTTGGCACTAATCGTGTTAGCAAATGAGCCGCTTGTGCTCCGTGCCAGCATCGTGTCTAGTTTCATAAAGTCCTACTGCTTTCTATATCTTCTGTTTGAGAATAACAAAAGAATGACCTGTTATTAATCTTCAGGAGGAGACAGCTAAGTACATTGCATACAATGTTTAGGGTAATTCCAATATTGCATGCATGTTTTCAAATTTTAAGAAATGATAAAGTTACAGTGGGGCGAAAAAGTATTTAGTCAGCCACCAATTGTGCAAGTTCTCCCACTTAAAAAGATGAGAGAGGCCTGTAATTTTCATCCTAGGTACACTTCAACTATGAGAGACAAAATGAGAGAAAAAAAAAAATCCAGAAAATCACATTGTCTGATTTTTTAAAGAATTTATTTGCAAATTATGGTGGAAAATAAGTATTTGGTCAATAACAAAAGTTCATCTCAATACTTTGTTATATACCCTTTGTTGGCAATGACAGAGGTCAAACGTTTTCTGTAAGTCTTCACAAGGTTTTCACACACTGTTGCTGGTATTTTGGCCCATTCCTCCATGCAGATCTCCTCTAGAGCAGTGATGTTTTGGGGCTGTCGCTGGGCAACACAGACTTTCAACTCCCTCCAAAGATTTTATATGGGGTTGAGATCTGGAGACTGGCTAGGCCACTCCAGGACCTTGAAATGCTTCTTACGAAGCCACTCCCTCGTTGCCCGGGCGGTGTGTTTGGGATCATTGTCATGCTGAAAGACCCAGCCACGTTTCATCTTCAATGCCCTTGCTGATGGAAGGAGGTTGTCACTCAAAATCTCACGATACATGGCCCCATTAATTATTTCCTTTACACGGATCAGTCGTCCTGGTCCCTTTGCAGAAAAACAGCCCCAAAGCATGATGTTTCCACCCCCATGTTTCACAGTAGGTATGGTGTTCTTTGGATGCAACTCAGCATTCTTTCTCCTCCAAACACGTCTAGTTGAGTTTTTACCAAAAAGTTATATTTTGGTTTCATCTGACCATATGACATTCTCCCAATCCTCTTCTGGATCATCTAAATGCTCTCTAGCAAACTTCAGACGGGCCTGGACATGTACTGGCTTAAGCAGGGGGACACGTCTGGCACTGCAGGATTTGAGTCCCTGGCGGCGTAGTGTGTTACTGATGGTAGCCTTTGTTACTTTGGTCCCAGCTCTCTGCAGGTCATTGACTAGGTCCCCCCGTGTGGTTCTGGGATTTTTGCTCACCGTTCTTGTGATCATTTTGACCCCACGGAGTGAGATCTTGCGTGGAGCCCCAGATCGAGGGAGATTATCA